AGGAGAGAGGAGGAGGAGGAGGAGGAGGAGGAGGAGGCTCGACCCTCGCCCTTCCCCCCTCAACGCTGCCCCCCTCCGCTCCGCGGCGGGCTCGGGGTGCTGCCCGCGAGGTGCGCGGCCTCCGCCGGCGGGCCGCTGCCTCCGGCCGCCGCCGCCTCCTCCGCCGCTGCGCTCTGCGGCAGCTCCGGCGCCGGCCTGCCGCCCCGAGGCAGGTCCTCCAGAGAGGGAGGGAGGGAGGGAGGGAGGGAGGGAGGGAGGGAGGAGGGAGGGGGGAGGGAGGGAGGAGGAGGAGGGAGGAGGAGGAGGAGGAGGAGGAGAGGAGGAGGAGGCGGGAGGGAGGGAGGAGGGGAGGGAGGGAGGGAGGGTGGGAGGGGAGGACCCTCGCCCTCCACCTTCCGCACCTTCCGCGCGGCAGGTGCCGCGCCGCCGCGGACGCCGCCGCCGCCGAAACCGCTGCTGCGGCCCCGGCGGAAGCCGCAATGGCGGCCGCGGCGGGGCCGCGGCGGCGGCCGCCGCGGCGTGGAACCTGCCGCGCGGAAGGTGCGGAAGGTGGAGGGTGAGGGGGAGAGGAGGAGGAGGAGGAGGAGGAGGAGGAGGAGGAGGAGGAGGAGGAGGAGGAGGAGGAGAGAGGCGGAGGAGGATGATGATGATGATGATGAGGAGGAGGAGCAGGAGGAGGAGAGAGGGGGAGGTGGGAGGTGGAGCGAGGAGAGGAGGAGGAGGAGGAGGACGAGGAGGAGAGGAGGGGAGGAGGAGGAGGGATAGGGGGAGGAGGAGGGAGAGGAGGCGGAGGAGGAGGAGGAGGAGGAGGAGGAGGAGAAGGAGGGAGGAGGGAGGAGGGAGGAGGGAGGAGGAGGAAGTGGAGGAGAAGGAGGAGGACCTGTACAAACCCAAGACTCATCAATGATGCTTGAAAACTATCAAAAAAAAAGCCTCCAAGCTCCCTCTGTGCAGGCTCCTACCAGGAATCACTTCCACTGAGGGAAGTGCCCCGTTGAGAGACAATCGTTGGAAGATCCTGAAGCGTGCCAAAGCGAAGGAAGAGGAGGAGGAGGAGGAAGAAGAAGAGGAAGACGAGGAGGAGGAGGAGGAGGAGGACCAGTGCAAACTCAAGACCCATCAACGATTTTGAAATACACCCTCCCTCCAAGATCCCTCTTCATAGGCTCTACAAGGGGCATTTCCACTGAGGGAATTGCCCCGTTGGGGAAACAACCGTGTGAACATCTTAAAGCGCACCCAAACACCATTCTCAGGACTGCAACCACACGAGTTAACCTGACTGTTACATCTTAGCGGTCATGATATCGTACTAGAACACCATTCCTGAGACTTCAACACCGCGAATCGACGTAAATGATGCGCCCTGACAGTCCTGAACCGATCCAAATCACCATTGTACGTTAACCATGAGAACCAATTAGACTCTTACAACTGTTTGAAACGAATGTGCGCGGCGCTGCGGCGAGAGCCACATTTTGGAAAGGAGCCGCCCTCACTCCGCGAATATATATTGCAACTTTTGTACAACGAATATGCGCGTCGCTAAAGCAAGAACCACATTTTGAAAGCCATCCGCCCTCAATCCGCTAAGCTCTTGCGAATGTGGAAAACGAGAGCTCGCGGCGCTAAGGCGAGGGCGACGTTTTGAAAACGAGCCGCCCTACTTATGTGAGGATCTTGCAGACGTTGTTCACCGAATGTGCGCGGCGCCAAGGCGAGAGACACAAATTGGACACCACCCGCCGTCAACCCATGAAGCTATTGCAAGCTTCTTTGAAACAATAAAACACAACAAAAAACGAATGTGCGCGGCGCAAAAGGAGAACCACATTTCGAAAACGAACCGCCCTCAATCCGCTGAGCTCTTGCACATTGGGTAGTTGAAACGAATGTTCGCGGCGCCAAGGGGAGAACCACATTTTGAAAACCACCCGTCCTCCATCCGCAAATCCCTTGCACATGTTTAAAACGAATGCTTGTGGCGCTAAGGCGAGAGCCACATTTTGAAAATCATCCGCCCTCCATCTGTGAAGCTGTTGTCAATGCTTGAGCATCAGTGTCATAAAGGGCGAGGAAGTCTCAGGCGAAACGCCCAGCCCACCCTTTCGACCAGCATCGGGGTGCGACAGGGAGGAGTTATCTATAAGGATAAGGAGTAGGAATGGAGGAGAAGGGGGAGGAGGAGGAGGAGGAGGATGAGGAGGAGGAGTGGAGGAGGAGGAGGAGGAGGAGAGGAGGAGAGGAGGAGGAGGAGGAGGAGGAGGGGGGCAGGAGGAGGAGGGAGGAGGAGGAGGAGGTGGAGGAGCGGAGGAGGGGGGGAGGAGGAGGAGTGAGGAGGAGGAGGGGAGGAGGAGGAGGAGAGGAGGAGGAGGAGGAGAGGAGGAAGGAGGAGGAGGAGGAGGAGGAGAGAAGAGGGGAGTGAGGAGGAGGAGGGAGGAGGCGGAGGAGGAGGAGGAGGAGGAGGAGGAGGACGGCGACGATGTCCCGCGGAGGAGGAGGAGGAGCAGGAAGAGGAACAGGAGGAGAAGGAGTAGGAGGAGGAGGAGGAGGAAGATGAAGATGTGTGTTTTTTCCTCCGCCGAGGTCCAGGCTGCCCTCCAGAGGCGGCACTCCCGGCGGCGGGCCGCCGCATGGCAGGTCCGACGGCGGGCCGCCGCGCGGCAGGTCCGGCGTCGAGCTGCTGGACAGCGCGCACTCCGCGAGGGCCGCCTCCAGCGCCTGGCAGCGGCGTCGAACGAGGAGGGAGGCGGGAGGAGGGAGGAGGGAGGAGGAGGAGGATTAGGAGGAGGAGGAGGAGGAGGAGGAGGAGGAGGAGGAGGAGGAGGAGGAGGAGGAGGAGGAGGAGGAGGAGGAGGAGTGGAGTGGAGCAATCGGACGTAGTCCGTTCGGAACCCAGGGATGCCAGGGGGGCCATCCAGTATTTCTCGGAGGGCCGTGGGGGGCGACATCCCACGGCCCACCGCGACAGGCCCCCCTGGCCTCGCAATTTACTCGGTGGCAGCACCCGCCGCGTAGGAACCGATCGCGGCTTCGGCTGCCGAAACGTGCAAAGCCTCTAGCACAGCCTTGCTGGGACCCGCTCTGGACGGGTGGAGGCCTCGCCTGATCCTGCTGAGGTTCTCGAGGCCTTTGCCAGTGGGTCCCAGGGCCCTGCGCTCTCCCACTTGGTGGGAGAGAGGGCACGGCAAAAGAAGGCTTTTAACCTGGTGCGTGGCCGTATGGCCGCACTTCACACAAAAGAACAATTGCCACTTGGGGATGGTGGCCAAATGTGGGAGGGGTGGATCAACTTGCCACTGATCACGCGGGGACCCCTCGACCACAGCACCTCTCCACACGCAGCGAACTCGGGAAGGGGGCAAGGCGGCACACACTCAGTGGCGGCAGCTGGAATAACGTGGCACGCGTCAACGATGATGAGGCAGGCAGGGCATCTCCATTTGTCTGCACACCGCTCGAATTTGTGCTGAGAAGCCGCGATCGCGGTCTGCAACTGAGAGCGAGGGGCTGCCTCCTGGGTGGATTGCCTTTCTGGCCACTGTCCTCGAGGCTCTGAATTCTTGCCTAAGGAACGTAAGATCAGTCGGGCCCTCTGTCGGACGATGGCTGCAATAGCGTCATATTCATCGGTCCTGGGGACAGGCGGGAGGGCAAGGGTGGCCGACTTGTGGGCCGCGCTTCCCGCGAGCTCATCGGCATGCTGGTTGCCGAGAGCCATAATTTTTTGGAAACCATTCAACGTGAGGGGATCGGCGTGAGATGGGGTCCAGAGCACCGAGACCGAAGAGCAGCCGCCAGATCGATCCTGCACGAGGTGCCGAATTCTCAGCCAGAGATCCCCATTCTGATTCTTGCCTCTGAGGCTGCCAGGTCGGAGACATCTGCCATTCTGCCAGCCGCGCTGCAGGGCTAGGTGATCAGTAACAAACGTGAAATCCTGCTGGCACGTCTCAAGAGCCAGGCAAAACGCATGCAATTCGCCTCTTGGGACAGTCTGGCGGGGGCCTGGGAGGGGGGCGAGGAGGCCCGCGTGGAGGGCCCAGGAGGCCGAAGGAGGGTCCCATCGGAGGGCCGCGAGGCCAGAACCAACACGTCGTCGTCTGACGTCGTCGGAAAAGGCGCCGCCAGACCCGTCGCCAAAAATAAACAACTCGCCCTCAGCGTTACGAGCTCCTTCCCACGACGGCAACCCATCCCGCACCGCGCCAACAAACTCCCACCCGTCCCTCCCAGTCAATGGCTCGAACGCGGGCGTAGTGAGAGCGACGGAGGGAATGCCACGGAGCCACAGGGCAGGGTCAGCTTCGGCCCCCGCCACAACTCGCGGTAGTAGCTTGTCACTGGCCTCAAACTCAGGTCCCACATTCGCCTCGCACTGCCACATACGGTGAAACAGGGTTTCAGGAACTCCTGCGCTGCATCGGTCGCAGTTCTTGTCGATCTGGTAGCCCGAGTTGTGGAGGCGGTCCCTGGTCCATTGTCCTCCACTGATGACGGTGTTGTTGAGGGCCCAGTCGCTGAAATCACCGTTTGCGAGGAGCCTCCTTTGTTCAATGCGGATAGTGACCATGTCCGCTCCTCCAGCCAGCGTGTCGCCATGGTCATGGGTAGCGGCCTGAGTCCAGAGGAGCCTGTGCAAATCCTCGCTGAGGTCCTGCAATACTGTGTGGATGTCGGCGTCGGGGAGGTCAGGGTCGTGGGCAGGGGGGAGGTTCCACTCCTCGATGTAGCCGTCCTTTGTGCGCCTCCACGTGGTAGCTGAAGTCGGCTCCCAGCTGGCCTCCAGCAGTGTCGCGATGGCCGCGCCAGTGGGCCCCTTGACCCTGCACCACAGCTTGGGGCCTGCGGCTAGCAAAGTGGTCTTGATCCTTGGCCATGCTCTGATGATCCTGGCGTGCGTGCTCGGGTGGCGTATCCAGTGCTGGAGCCAAGCCTCGATGAACTCGATCCTTAGGGAAACTCCTGGGTCCATGCCGTCGAAGGTGGCGCCGAGGAGGGAGGTGAGGCATCGGCCCGCTGCTGCCCCCGTGGCCGCGATGGCGGCCTGACGGCGCCATCGTAGTAGAGCGTGTCGCGCAAGGCCGTGTACCTGATGACCGAAGACTCCTTCGGGGAGAGCGCCAGTACGCCACAGTCCTGCTGAGATTCGAGCCTGCTGTGCAGTGCTCCGTAGTCGGTGTATCTTGCGAAACCTAGCTGCGGCTGAGCTCTGTCGCTTCCTGGCTTTGGCTTGTACCCGTCGAGTAGCCGCGGCCGCGTCAACTCCGAGGTCGACGGCCGTGGCGGTCGCTGTGACAGGGATGTCGTACTGCCGCAACTTCTTGGCTAGCGATTTGCGGACCTTGGGGGTGGAGCCGATGAGAACCGTCTTGTCAGAGATGGGCAGCTCGAACTCCTTTAGACCGTCGCAGAGCGTCTTGGCGGCGCGGGGGAGGTGCTTCTGAAGTGTGCGTAGGACTCCTTCGACTCGAAGGACGGTGTCGTCTACGAAGGTCCACATCTGGGCTAGCTCTGCCTGAGCTTGGGCTTGCCGTAGAATAGGAAGTAATATGAGTCGCGCCAAGGTCGTGCCATGCGGGGAGCCTGCGATGATGCCTTTGGAGGCGAAGATAGGCATACTCACCCATTGTCGACTGCGCAAGAATCTGGGCGCGAGGTATAGCTGTACTTCCAGAAGTAGAACGATGGGGGGGAAGCCGCAGTTGAGGCCGACCATGATGAGGTTGGCGAGCTTGATATTCTCGTAGAACTTCTGGATGTCCAATAGCAATGTGGCTGACTGTATGCCAAATGCTGGGGCTGTCTCGTCTAACAAGGCCCTGTGCAGGGCGGCCTGGAGAGCTGAGGAGCCTTTGATGGCTGTAGTCCAAAAGTCGTCCAGTCCTTGGGTCCAGGAAGTAGATGCAGTCGATCTGATGCGAGACCAGAGTCTGGCCATGTGAGGTAGCATGCCGAGGACCCTGTCGCCTCCAGACTTCTTGGCTGCTAGGGCTGCAATAGTGCCTGAGATTTGTAGTGGCCAAATGCCTGCCTGCTCTACTGCGTTGAGGATATCCGCATAGGCTTCGACTGCTGGTTCTGGTAGTCGGTGGAGGTCGCGAGGTCCAAGTGCGTCAACTCCATGTGCTTTACTGGGTGGCATGCGGCCGTGAAAGCGATGTACGATCTCGGCTGTGGTGGGCTCGAGCGGTTGGTGAGCGGCTGCTGCCTTGGCCTTTGATAGCGCCTGTAGGATGTCGTCGGGGGTCCCGGTGGCCTGCCATACTTGTTGCCATTGTTGCTTCTTGATGTCCATGATAACGGTGGGGTCGGCGATGGTCAGGTTGGTCGTGTAGGCCTCGATGTGACGCACGGGCGCTGGCTTGACATGGGCGTGTAGTACTCCAGGGCGGTGTTTCCATTGCTTGGCGAGCCAGGCGCCGTAGGCCCTCTTGGACTTAGCGAGGGCGGCGGAAAGCGCTCTGGAGGCCCAAGTAGCAGTAATAGTGACCAAGTCGTCGGTGTCCTCGTTGTCCAAGTGCGGGGCCCAGACGAGTGCAAACCAGCGGAAGATGGTGTCCTCGTCCTTCTCGAACTGGAGGTCGTGAAAGTGAGCGCTGAAGTGGTCCGCGCGCTGCTGGATGATGGAGGCCTGCTGCTGCATGAGCGCTGTGTGCTTGGGCTTGTCGTGAAGCGCAGCGTAGCGCTTGATGAGGGTGAGCGTGATTGCCCACCATTCCGACTGAGGGTCATGTACGTGAACGCGGCCTGGGGCGGCGGCCGTCTTCTTCCAGGACAATTGGTAGCCTTGGGCTCGGCCTGTGAATGCTGCGGCTTCCTTGGGGTCGATCTGGTGGTGGCTGATCATGGTGTTCTCGAGCGCCGTGACCCATTTGGCGTACTTGAGGTTGAGGTCGTCGGCGTCGTGCGCCCAGTGAGAGTACACGAAGTGCGCGTGGGGCTGCTTACAACGTGTGGGTACTGCTTGCTGCCATTGCTCCTCCCAGAGGTCGGTCGGGATTGCGTAAGGGATAGGCTCCTGTGCTGCGGGCTCGTCTTGAGGCTGGAGTTGTGCTGCTGCTTGTTGGAGTTCAGGAGGTAGTTCGCGTAGGCGTGCTGCTCGAGCTTATGCTGTTTTACGTCTCTTGATGGCGGACTTGCTGTTGGGGTCGGGTGGGATCCTGGGTCTGTCCACTGTGGGGAATGCTCTGGGGGTATGGATCGACTGATACCACCAGGGGTCTGCACTGCCTGCTCGAACTTCAAGGCCCACGTGGGTGGCCCAGGGGACGGTGGGGCACTGGCGAATGGAGATCGTGTGCTCGATGCCAGTCTTGACCAATGCGAAGTCGAGCGTGAGTCCCTGGCCTTTGTCGCACGTGGCAGATCCAGGCGCTCGCACGATGGTAGCATTCCATTTGGCGGGCCACTCTGTCGCTGCGAGCTGCTCAGGAGTCATATTCCAATCGGCCAGGATGATCCAAGGGTCAGTGAGCATAGTAACGAAGGCCCCCAGCGAGAGTAGCTTATCGTGCACTGCACCCTCGATCTGCCTGTGGGGTTCCAGGTATGCTGCAATAACGACCAGGTTGCCCGAGCGTCTGTGCCATACCATGGGCGTGAAGCCTCGGAACGGGTCGGGCCTGCGCTGGGAAATGGCCAGGTCGCGGAGGTGGTTGAAGGTTGTGGCCTGGACATGGTACCTGGAGAGGATAATCTCGCCGCCCGTGTTGCCTCCG